TCAGCCTTGGGTGAGCGCGCGCACCGGCGAGGGGCCCCGCGGCGGCGCCACCACTCCCAGTGCGCCCGTTGCGGCGTCGTCGTCCTCTGCGGTCGGCGGCGGCTGCTGTGCGTGCGAGAGAAGCGGAGCATGGAGAGAGAAGGCCAGGGTGCAAATGGACTTAGGGTTTCAAGGGGAGGCCACTCGTGCCGGTTTTGTTCGCGCGAAATGCAAGGACGACCGTCCGATCAAGATCGACGGCTGGCGGCAACCAGGCTGGCTCCAGGCCTAGGCGGGCACGCGCGGAGGACAGCTTTGCCGGCCCAGGCCCAGGTTGTGGCCTGGGTAGGCGCTGCAGGCGCGCGAGCAAAGCTGGGCCGGGCCGTTTTGCCGGTTGGGCCACAGTGCAGTAAAGCATTAAGCCATTTTCCTTTTTTCATTTTCCAGTAAAATGTTATCTCCTAGAAAATGAATAATGGCTCAAAGAAAATTAGAAAAGAGAATTTTCCTGTGGGTAAAATTCACTCAATTAAGTTAATGTTTCCGCTGCAAAGTTAAAGTTTGTTGTCTTATTAAATTCGAACCAACGGGAGAATTTAATTTGAAGAGCAGTTATAGTTATTCAGTAAATGATGAAAAGTTGATCCTCTAGTTAAAATTGAAACTAACGGGAAAATTTTAATTGGAGGAATAGTCCGTTGATAGTTAAAATTAAATTATGGTATTGTTATTTTCTGACCAACGTTGATAATAACAATATTAGAATTCTATGAGTTTTATGTTCGAAGTTTAAATCTCTGATGAATTTTGCATCAAAGTGATCAATTTTTCAGAGAATAGATAAAGATCAAGGAATGCTCTTAAACTAGAGAAATATATTTTCATGTTTCCGCTGCAATGAAGTTGATTGTCTTCTAATTAAATTCGAACGAACGGGAGAATTTAATTTTGAAAAGCAGTTCTATGTTTTCAAGATTATTGAGGTTCTATACGTTAATTCCATCTCTGCCCAACGGTGATGTAGAATTAATGTAGAAGAATGATGTTTATTCTATTTCTGCTCAACGGTGATATAGAATAGAACATAAAGATTTCAAAGTTTAGTGAGCATTATTGTTGAATTTTTTTTTTCAAACAAAGACCTCCGTGCTTTCATTCTTGAAGGTAGTAAGAGAAATGAGCTGGGTACTTGTGACTCAGATGATGAAATGCCTAAGGGCAAGTTATGTATGAAAGAATGTCATTGCTTAAGGGACTGTGTTCTCTTTAAAGAATGGCTTGAAAAGAAAAGAATTCTAGGATATTGATCCAAGAAAAGAGATAAATCAATGAGAGTCTTCATTGATAAATGTCTTTTATGTACTCTCTGTGAAGAAGAATTTATTTTCAGTTTCACTTATGAGAGTTGTAAAAGTCATATACATGATTAAACATGTGTTAAAAGAATATTCGGATTTATTTTTGAATTTTATGATTGAACATGAGCCAATCCTGGCATTTATGTCCGTTTAAGGGAATTATCTCGCATGACAATAAAAGTTTGTGATAGTACCCGCATGACGGGAAAAGTTTGAGAAAATACCCACATGGCGGGGTAAAGTTGGCATAGTACTTATCCCGCATGGCGGTAGAAGGATGTGATGACTCATGTGCTCTAACTGTATCCCGCACATGGAGAGAAGTTTGGGGTAGCTCTTATGCTATCCTAGTACTGACCGTATACTCTGATTGTGTCATGGTCATTAAGTACTCAATGAGTTTAAGAACAAAAGAAAGTTGTATGTGAACCAAAAGATAAGAATGATATGCAAGTCGTGACTTGCAGAAGTATTGATAATAATAGACTATGTTGAGTTTTGAAATGAAATGAGAAAAATGTACTCCCATACGAATTTTGTTTGCATGATGTAATCATATGGATGAAGTAAGTAATCAAAGTTTCCTCATTCACAAGAGTTCTAAATGTTTCGAAATTGTGGTAGAAAAGTTCATACCACATTTCGAGGGGGAGAAATGTAAGATTAATTAAGAAAGACAAATAAGAAAGATACTTCCCCGTACTTCAGATAATGCAATGCATACTATGCATTGAAGGTAAAAGTGATCTATAAAAGATGAATGTGATCGTTGAGGGAGTAAGACGGTCATAATAACGATACCCCTAAAGTAAAGAAATAGCTAAATTCCTAGACCTTTTACAGTTCCAATAGGAAGATAGCATAGTCGGCTAGTATTCATACTGGACGAGTTCAGAGTTATCAAGGCAGAGCTAAACGCGCCATATAAGGTTTTAGCAGATTAAACCCAAAATAAGAAATTTGAAGATACACCATCTTTACAGAAGATAGAGTAATCTGGAGGAGCATGGTATGCAGATACCTAATGCTAGAATAGAAGTGAGATTACATATCCACTACAGTGTTTTTATAGCAACAAATTGCTTGCTTAATACATGTTGATGTTGTATGACATATACAACACCAGATGTTAGCTCTTAAAGAAGTTGAATAAGTAAACAATGATCTTTTGATACAGAAGGCTATAGAACAATTGCCTTTTAGCAATGAAGAGCAACAATAGCCCCATATGAAAGAAGTGCCATGAGGCCCTAATGGGTCTCAAAGAATAAGGAAATCAGATATTTCTGGTGACTAAGAAGTAAAAGTTAAAAAAGAAATTCAAATAGAGAGTGATTCCACCTTATTTGAAGAAGCCATGAGAGGCGTTCACTCGTCTAAATGGCAAGAAGCAAAGGAAGATGAAATGAAATCGATAAATACCAATGATGTTTGGGACTTGGAAGAAATTCCTAATTGAGCCAAAACAATAAGCTGTAATGGGTCTGCAAGACAAATGTGACTCCAAAGGGATATGGAAAGCTATAAAGCGCCACTTGTGGCGAAATGATTTACACAAAGAGAATGAATAGATTATAATGAGAATGCAATGATTCTTTTAGAATCATAATGGCGTTAATGGCACACTACGATTTACAGTTACATCAGAAAGATGTAAAGACACATTTCTCAACGGGGATTTGTATGAAAAAATTTACATGGCATAACTTAAAAGATTTTGTCGTGGAAGGAAAAGAACGTAAGGGATGTTGCATGAAGAAATCCATTTATGGATTAAAGCAAGCTTCAAGACATTGGTACTTGAAGTTTGACAGTACAATAAGAAAGTTTGGGTTTAAAGAGAATGTAGAGGATAATTGTATTTATGCAAAGTTTAAACATGGGAAATCAATTTCCCTAATCCTGCACGTGGATAGCACCTTGCTCGCTAGTAGTGGTGTTAATCTATTGTTGGAGAAGAAACAGTTATTGTCCTCAAGTTTCAATGAGTGATCTTGGTAAAGCGTCATTCGTTCCAGAAATTGAAACTTACCGAGACAAAAGGAAAAGGGGTATTAGAACTATCTCAAATGTATACTTAGAGAAGATTCTAAAGAAATAAAATATATATGTGAATAAACCTGCGTCTGTTCCTATAGTCAAGGGTAATAGTTTTGGGAACTTTCAGTGTTCCAAGAACCAATGTGAGATCGAAAGGACGTCCTATATGCTTCAGCTGTTGGAAGCTTAATGAGTGCTTATAAGTAAGAACTTACCCTGACATAGTTCGTGTATCCGGGATGTTTTGGCAGAAGTCCAGTCCAGATATAGATCACTGAAATGGAGTTGAGAATGTTTTGCAATTGTGCAAAGATTTATAGGCATCATGGTGAGTAAGAAAGAATAAGTACTCTCAAATAGTTGTAGGTACAAATGTTAAATGTTAGCGAGATGTTTAGTGAAACCCACATAGTAGCTAACACTCGCAGTTGGAGTTTTATTGTGGAAAAGCTCCAAAGAAACAGTTGTGATGTCATCAAAGATGCATACCCACAGTATAGCTTGTTATGAGGCTTAAGGACAGGCGAAATGGTTAAAAGAACTTACACCCGGAATTGATAATGGTATACAACAACAATAACCATTTAAGTAGTTCGCTCCTATAACAACAAGTCAAGTGTGGTGCCAAACACATTGACGTTAAAGTTATACGTTGTGAAGGAGAGTCCGGAATCATACTAAAGTATTAAAGTAACAAGCAAGTGCTTGCGGATCCGCGTACAAAAGGCTTACCACCCAATGTGTTTAGAGAACACATAGTCGACATAGGTTTATGGTATAGCCTATGATTTCCGGACAATAAAGGGCCCAAAAGTTAAAGAATCTGTTTCAGAACAGAGTTATGTATTGTAGCTGTTTAGTCTATCGGCGATTGACTGTGACGATGAAGCATGCTCTATGCACTAATCTGTGATGGAACGAATAAAAGTGAAAGGGATTAAAGTCAAAGTTTAAAGTTAAAGTATGAGTTGAGATCAAGGAGGAGAATGTTAGAATTGATCTCATCTGTCTTGACCCAACGGTCGAGACGGACCCCTTGACCGCATCCTGATCGGGGACGTCCAGCCATCTAGTGGCTAGTGGGCCCCCGTCGCATAGTGCCTATAAAGAGGAGGTGGGGCAAACGGCTCTTGAAATGAGGTTCACTGCCGCTGCCACAACCCCACCGTCTAACCCTAATCCGATCGAGAGGGAGGCACTGCCAGCGGTGGGAAGCACCACTGCCTTTGCCACCACCGCCGGTCTCCACCGCCACCACTGCATCACTACTGACGACCACACTGCCGCAGGTCGCCTCTTCTTCCTCCCTGTCGTCACCAACTCCGTCGGACGCTCACCGCTACACCGACCGTCGCTACCCGTGCGCAGTCTCCATCAACGAACCAGCGATGGCAGGGAGCTCCTCCAACCCCTCCAACGTTCAGATGCTCCTACATCTCCCTCTCTCTGTCTCCTTCTCCCGAAGCAAGCTCTAGGTCTATTTGATTCAATTAGTAAAGATATCACCCTTTGATCTACACCATGGATGATCGAAAGATTCTAACATTTTTCTCTCACACCAAATCAGTCAACAGTACTTTCAGCCATGGTTTATCAGCCAAACAAGCCCAAACGAACAGGCGGATGGGAGAGAGGGTGGTTGCCCCTGACAACCCAGGCGACGGGCGCGTCGTCGCCGGCACATGCTGCGCCGAGGCGCGCTCTGGCGGCCCTCCTGCACCCGCTCCTCTCAACCCACCGACCAGTGCCGTCACGCCCCATTGCCTTCATCACCAAACCTCATCGGCGAAAGGGCCTCTCACTCTCACCGCCACCCACAACTCCACAAAGCTCCCACCACTTCTCCCCAGCCCTCCTCCACCCGCAGAAACCCATCGCCATCGCCATCGGCACCGGTGCCGGCGCCGGGACCTTCGAAAGCAGTTCACAGCAGACCGCAAGAACAACAAGAGCCGCAAGAGTGCAAGAAGAAAGGTGGTTCAAGTGAGCGTTAGGCTTGGGATTGAATTCCAGTCTCTGGTCCTCAAGGACCTCTGCTCCGACGTCGTCACGCCTGAGCCCAGCTCGAACTCGGGTGCTTTCTGGATCACCCCTCCGTTCCGTTCTCCGAGGTTCTCTGTCGTTTCCATCTCCAACATGCTGTCCTTCTTCCTTTGCGCTCCACCCCATCGTGTGCGTGCCTCGGCCGTTGAGCCTTCCGTCGTTTGCGCTCGAGTCGCCTCAGAAAATGTCGCCAGCTTCATCCTTACCCGCCGGGAGCTGAAGCTGCATAAATGTATCTTTACCCTCCATGCCTCGCTCCCCGCGGCTTCCGCCATGGTCGGCCAGCTGAGAGAGGAAGAGGACTTTACTCCCAGGCACCCACCTCTGCCTGGAGTAACGGAGCTGAGTAACTCCTGCGCAATGCTCGGGGCTCGAGGCGGGGTCGACTTGAAGAGGCTGGACGTGGAGAGATCTCCAAATCTCGCTACAGTCCCCTCGGACTCGACCAGGAGTTATGATGCTCCCCTTCCTCCTGTCTTGTCCCCGGCAAGGGAGCAGCGAGATGGTGAGCAGTCACAGGGGAAGGAACCCCATGCTGCCGCCAACGTGTCGGGACAGGTGAAAGCCGCTCCTCATCACCCCTTCAATGCTGCTGCCAACGGCTCTAAGAAAACTTATGCTGAAGCCCTCCTCTCATATGGTATTTCTACTACCTCCGGCTCCGAGCGGAGCAAGGGCAAACGCCGCCCTGCCCCCTTCGTGCCTCCCTCCGTTGGGTGCTTCCGCTGCATTTCGTCCTCGCACATGGTTCGTGACTGCCGTGACCCGCTCGGGTGCCGGCGCTGTGGTGGCGACGGCCACCGACAGTTCCAGTGCTCCATGCCTGTTGCGTGTCGCCGCCAAACCCCTTTCACCCACCACCACCTGGCTTCAGCTCGCCATGTCCGCCTCCCTGTTCCTATTCCTGTCAATGCCGCCGTCCCATGTGTCCCTCAGACACTTCCTCCTCTTCCTCCACCTGAACAGGGTGATGCTGCTGGTGTGTCCCGGTAGCCTCCTCCGGTGGCCTCGCCACAGGCCATCGTGCAGCTCGTCTTGGGATGACAATGAAAGAAGCTGCAAACCTCTGGCAAGTGGCAACATCGTCTACCAAGACAAGACAGAAGTGTAGTAGCGGTTTGGTGTACCTCTCTATTGTTTCCTTTATAGTTAGTCTCTCTTTAATTTCTGCTGTGTAATCTCCCTTAGTTTGAACAGCAAGCTCTTTGCTGCTCCTGTGCAATATATCAGGTGTGGCCGTGTTGACAGTTCAAAAAAAAGGACGGGGGATAGCCTCCCCTCCTTATTTTACTTCATATAAACAAACAAAAAGAAACCCAGTAGCACACTTGTACCCGAGCTAGCCTAAACAGTTCTTCTTTGTATTCCAGCGGGAATACAAGAACACCTAGATCAAATCTGTAGGAAATGACTTTAGCGGCCTAACCGAGTGATGTAACTATGTAAGCTTGACATGAGATATGCAACTCTACTTCATCGCGTGCTACATTTCTTCCGAAGAGCACGGCCATGGATCGGCAGCAGAGTCAGGAACTCCGTTTGCGAAATTTTACTGCAGGCATAGCCTCGTGCAGTTCCTCTAAGCATCAGACTCGTGGTGAAGCAGAAAGAATGAACGGCCAAGCAATACATAAAAGAGCACAAGGTTCAGCAGAACACATAGATGGATCCCAATAATTTCAGCCCCCCAAAGGCAGGGCACTTATGAAAAAAATACCAAGAAGGCAAGGTATGTGGGACAATCACAATCATAAGGGAAGCGAGGTCTGTCATGGTAGAATACCTGAAAACGATGGGCCCAACAATCCAGCCCCAAGAACAATCTGAAGTTATCAATTCCTTATTCAGAGCTTCACCCATCTCCAGTTCCACTGTTTGGAAGGAAAACCATAGAAAGTGCAAATTATAAGATTTTTTACTAAAGAAAATGAATATATGCCCAACATAAAGAACAGAGATTCCATCGGAATAGAGAGACCAAGGTAATGCAACAATTACAGTGGCGTCAGAGTTTAATACACACCTGACCAAGATGGACACAGCGGCGATTCCAGCCCCATGGAAAACCTGAATTTCTGAATTTCTTAGCAGAGTTTCACCCACCTCACTCTTTGCACTGTTTTCAATGGAAAACCATAGACAAGAAATCGAATTAAATGGCCTTTCCTAAAGAAAATGGAAGATATGCTGATGCTTCAAGCTACACTAAAAGTGAAATCTATGGCCTCAAGGGAATATGTTTTGAGATCTGTAACTTTTGATGCATACTTTTGAATTGAACTACTTACACTGAATGATGTTCCGCTTCCAATTTGGGGACGGGAAACAGCAAAACGAGAAAATAAGTCCACTTCATCTCCCCAACTTTTTTTTCATGAAAATCCGATTACACGAACATCCCCTTTCTAAAAAGATATCACGAACAGTCGATCCATACCACGAGCGAAGCATATGCATCAGTGCATCACCCATCGTTCGTCCCAAACAGACGGAGAGAGAAATTCAGCTCATCATCAGTTCATCACCAAGCATGAACTGCCCCTCCAAAAAGTCATCTCCTGAGACGCAATCACGAAAGGAAGAACACTCCAGAGCTAGGACAAACGAACGAAAATTCAATGAGAAAACTGTAGCCCTACCCAGCAACCAAAACAACCAGCGACATCAGAGCTCCCAGAGAAAAAGCCGCACCAGCGAATCGCATTAGATCAGCAGCAAGTTCTTACCCCAGCTTGGATTCGTTTCCAGATTCGATTCGTCTTCCCGCTTGGTCTCCCGCGGAGGCGGAGCTTCCCCGTCTGCCGCGAAGGTTGTGGGGGAGCAGGTGGTGGTCAACTGCAGGAAATGTTTTGCCGCGTGGAACTCACCTTGTTAGCTTGTCGAGTTCCTCGACCAGTATTTACTCCCTATCCGTTGAATGTTTAACAGATACATTAAGTATTAAATATAGACTAAAAAATAATTAATTATACAGTTTACGATTAATTCGTGAGAAGAATCTTTTAAGCCTAATTCGTCTATAATTTGACGGCTTAATAAATTTGACGAATTCTGTAATTTGTTTTTTTACTATTTGAACACCCGATGCGACACCCCTACATGACATTCGATATGACATCTCGAAATTTTACGTCCTGGATTTAATCAAGCGCGGATGATTATTTGGTCCAGCAGCCAACACGCTAGGAGGACTCTGAATATTCTGACTCTGCAAACTGATTGGCAGTCTTCGCCTCAAATGCACTAAAAACACGTGGTCAAACATCTCTTCCTTTTTTTTCTTTCGTTTTTCCAAGCAAAGGAAAATATGTCTCAGACGGGGACGTGAAAACGACCGTGCTAATGGAGCAAAATGCAGGGGAAAAACATGTCACACATGTGATGAAATGCAAATATTCTCCATGGACGAACCAAAGCAGACTCACAATAAGTTCACCGTACAATGTTGTTTTGGACTTTGGTACCTTCCTCTGCTAAAAACACGTGAAGAACATTTCCGACTACTTTAGGATGATACACCACGAAGGCCAGCTTCAGATGGACCTCACAAGGTACATGAAAGACACATGCTCTTTGAAATGAGACTAGCTGGATACTTCGATGACAGACACACCACAACGATTAACGTTTTCCAAGTAGGACCCGCTATTGTCAGTCTAGGCAGTTAGCTTACTTCATCCGGTCTATTTTTTCGCTCTCTTGCGACCTCTTCCTCTTCCTCTGGAGGTAGATGCGGATTTCTCAGGAGAACTATGAACGTTGCCGCTGCCTGTCCCAGAGGGTTCATCGTTGATGCTTGCTTCTTTGTCACTTTCTCCCTCGAAGAGCTCTGTCCGGTCCGTTGAGTTCTCCTCCTCCTGCTCCACCTCCTCCTTTGGATTCTTGCCAGCGGATTCGAGTTCCACAACTTTATCTCTGAGTTGTCTGAGCTTGGCCTTCTTCGAATTTAACACAGCCACAAACTAGAGGAACACAAAAATGGTGAGTAATGCATAACTAAATTAAGATCAAAATTACAACTGAATGAGAAAACAATTTATGTCTAAACATCATCACGAAAGGGAGCAAAAAGGCAAGGCCCAGCAACCAATGTTTTTAAGTAATAACAGTATACATCAATGCAAAGAAGCCGAGGGTATACATATCAGTATGCTGAATTTCGTATGGAGCTGCATAAGAAAATATCACCTGCAGTAGTCACCAAATGAACACAGTAACATAAGAAACTGTACCTTTGAAAAGGTGGCTTGTTCAAACTCAGCTTTCTCATTGTTAAATCTTTCACTTTGTTGCAAGCACTTCTCAGCTTCTTGTTTCAACTTGTCGAAGGATTGTGTTTTCCTCACCACCTCTTCCTAAATAAGGAAATATAAAAAATTTAGTAAATTTAGGCCCAAGTAAGAAAGGTGCTGAAGTGGTTCAGTAGCTTGGTAGTTGGGGGATAATTCGGGCAAATCAAGTTTATATTCATCTGCACCTCATGAATCGATTCACCCTTTGGTCATCTTTAAATTCAGCATAAGCATAGCTTAGCGAACCTTTTTTAGAATCACAGGTAGTCTGAAATGGAAGAGGTAAAGCAAAGGGGCATACACTCAAGCGTATATTTGCATCCATAAGAAAATCCAGGATCTCAGATATCGTCTGCTGCGTGTTTGGTGAAGGCTGCAGCTTCCATCGCCATTCCAACTTGGTACCTTGTCTTTCAAATGTCCATGAGAGCTAAATGGAACAAGGCAAAAAAATTCAGGAAATAAGCAAAGACCAAGAAATCTGAGAAGCTGGAAGACTGGTCTGAACGTTAGACGCATAATAGCCATATGAACATATTTGAACTCAAGTGCAATACATCTTCATGTTTCAAGATGGTAAGATCAATACAAAAGCTGGAAATAGTGACAACTCTAACTAATTACTAAGCCTAGATATGAATAATCAAGACAGCCAAATGTGAAGGAACTAATCAGTACTAGAGGTGGCAGTGAGCACATAGCCACATACTGTGATAAAAGTTCTTTTCACTTCCCACAGAGCGCTTGTGTGCTAAAGTTGAAGAAGTCTGACTGTTGAGCTGCCTTAAACTCGAATGCAATTCCTACAATTCTGGAAGTTTTGTATTAGAAGAAGTGAAATAAGTATGTCGACAACAGTGACACCACTGGAAGCTTCAGTTCTTGCTGACATAGGTGAAAGCATTAAACATGGATGTTTGATGGTGTTAAAGACTTCATTTGATGCTAGACAATAGTCCTTACAAACTTTGGTTCTCTGGGCAGTATTCTCAAAAAGTGCAGGGGCCTTTTTTTTGCCTCTTATGCTGAACATGGATTAGGCAGATTATTTTAGACGAGTATAAACGAGATCAGATGTACACACTTCTCATTCTTTTATACGTGAAGGCTTTTTGCGAGGCTGGATGATTGAGACCAGTTGTAATGACATGGAACAATGTTTCCAGGAGATGCTGTTTTGACTTCTCTTTTCATGCGGTTTCAATTATCTTTTTGCCCTTGGAATGCAAAAATGTCGAACACGTTGCTGCTCCCATATTCACTGGGAAGCAAATCATAGTATCATGCTTAAGCAAACTGGGAAACCCTTTCTGAGAGAGGATAACCCATTCGTTTGATCCTTTATTATGTTCATTGCTATCTTGCTGGTACGATGCCATTTGGGATGCGTTTAGAGCCTGTTTGGATCTCATGGACTAATAACTAGTTGGCTAAAGTTTAGCCTTTGAGGATCCAAACAGGTGGACTAGTGGTTGGTCTAACAATTAGCCAAAGCCTCCAACTAGTTGTTAGTTCACTAGCCTAAAGAACCTACCTAGTTAGACTAATCACTAGTCCTAGTTCATTCAAACAGGCCCTTAGTTTGGTGCTCGAACTACACTCAAATGGGCGTTCATTTATACGTTTAGTATGGTGCTCAAACTACACTCAAACGAGCGTTCAGGTGAGCGAAGTCACTGATTTTGGGAAATGGGTTTGCGATTGCGATGGAGGCAACAAACGTATTTTCTTCAAATCAAAATAAGATCACTTCTCCTATGTTTTAGGATAAATGTTTTAGCGCTATATAAGTTTCACAAGAGGAATATAAATTTTGTAATTTCTTCAAAGCCATCCATTTTAAATTGTTCTTTTATTGGGATTTCCCACTATAAATATTGGCCCTGTTCGCTCGAGGTTATTCAGAACTACTTTTCAGTAATGAAACATTATTTTTCTCTAACAATATTTTAGCATAAACATCAACATAAACTAAATTTCAGCGTCAGCGAACAGGGTGATTGTCATTTCATGAGACGTTGCCCGGGATCCACGTGTAAGAGGATCGACATCTTTTTTTTTTTTTGACAACAGCCTGTTCGGTTGGCTGGTTCGTGAAGAAGTACTGCTGGCTGGTTTGTGTGAGAGAAAAATACTGTTCCGGCTGGAAATTTACGATCGTTTACGACAAGCCACAGCCAAACGAACAGGCTGGCGTAGATCTGAAGGTTGGTCTATTGCCTGGACTTTTTTCTTGGTTCCTTAGTTCCATCTCAATTGTGGTTGACCCTACCTCAAACTGTCTTACTGTTATGATTTAAACTATTGGAATTGTAAATGCTGTCTGGTGGCCTATGTAAATGAAAAAGATGGCCACCTCTCCCTCTTATTCTTGAAAGGGATATATGACAAGTTTGCAAGGGGGCCATCATTAGTAATGAGTACGTACCACACAAAACGTTTGTTGAAAGGTCAGCAGACGCCGAAGTATTATCAAATCAGCATACAGTGGCACCTTAATCCAACAGTGTTTATAACTTTAATTTTCTGAAGAACTCATTAATGGTTTTTATGGAACTGATCAGTGTAGGCGCATACGAATTTGAGAACAGATCGGTAGGTCCCTTGAAAGGTCCAAATCCAACAATGCAGACGGAACTCAGCGACTTGTGTGAACTAAGATAAGAAAAAGAAGACCTGAAATATCCTTTTAACATCATCTGCACTACTGTGAGTCTAAAACCCATGGGCAAAACGACCCAAATGAGGACCAAACTTGGTAGCGTAAACCTGAAATAACAACCCTCGCAGACTTGCATCCATGTGAAATCGAATAGGCAAGTTTTTTCAACCTGGCCTAGAATCAGCTCACTAATCCAATCTACTCAACAACACATACGTACCCAACAGCACAGTAAGATGAAAATATTGGGCGAAAAGAGCCGAACGGACTGACCCTGCGGTTGCCTTTGCCGGCGTCGTGGAAGGAGTACGTGGAATCAGGCTGTTGGAAGGCGAGGTAGTGCTCGGCGAGGGCGAGGTAATCGGCGACTGGCTGGTCCCACTGCTCGGCGCGGAGGCGCACCTCGTGGTCGGAGGCGTCGGCGACCCAGGCGCCGGCACCGTCGGTCACCGCGAGGGAGAAGCGGGACGGCAGCCACGTGGCTTTGACGAAGACGGTGCCCGCGCCCGCCGGCACCGCCTTGGGGTCCTCCACTGGTACCGAGAGCTTCGCGCAGCTGTGCCTCGCCGGCGCCGCAGAAGAGGCCGCCGCCATGGTCGTTGCTGTCGACCTCTCTCTCAACGATGGGATGCGACTCGGGCAGACGGGCCCGGATCGGCCGTTGGAGACGGCTGCGCGGCGCACGAGAGGCCTGTGGACCGTCCGATGACGCGACCGAGTTGGAGGGTTTGCGGGGAGCTGGGGACCCTCGCATCTCGCAATTCGCAAGGACTCGGCAGGGGCGTGCAATGCACCATGTACATTTTCCAAAGTTCGTTGGTTGCGTACGTGGTGGAGTCGACGTCACACAAAAACAACTTTCGGACCTCGTGTGATTAGGGCTTGGTTCGTGGCCAAAATTTAATTTGGCAAGCCAACGTTACGTAAAAATATTGTCATAAATCAAACAATAGCTAAAATCATAGCTTACGAATCTTTGTCTTGTATATTTTGGAAGCCAACTAATCAAATCCTAGGATCTCTCTAGCCTGGCACCTGATTTTTGACCATCAACCTGTTCGGTTGGCTGGTTCGTTTCGTTTCTGGTTCGTGAAGAAGTACTGCTAGTTGATTTGTGTGAGAGAAAAATACTATTCCGGCTGAAAATTTACTATCATTTATGACAAGCCACAGCCAAACGAACAGGCTATGTATTTACAATGTTTTTAACGCTGTCTTGTTATTATATTTACAATAATTTTTCCGACGTGCACCTCAATGACACGTACGATCGGATCATACGGAGATGGATGACAGACGGACAGTTCTCAGCTGCACTGCATTCCGCGTCGCACCCGGTCCCCGGTTGCAGCTTGGTCTGTGACACCTGGGCACCCCTACGCGTCAGGATGTTCCTGTGGCTCGCTCTTCGACGGAAGCAATGGACGGCGGACTGTTGGCTCAGGCACGGGCTGGACGCCAATGAAGCCTGCTTCCTCTGCGGCCAGGAACCGGAGTCCATAGACCACATCGTTGTTTCCTGCTCCTTCAAGCAAGCATGTATGGTGGAGTGTCCTCTCCGCGATCGGTCAGCCGCAAGGTATGCCCCACTTCGACTGGTGGAACGGATGGAGATTGATGTGGTCTGGCAACAACAGGCTAGGAGCAGACACTTTGTTCACCTTAGTTGCCTGGGAGATATGGAAGGAGAGGAATGCAAGATGCTTCCGTGGCGCCACAACCTAGATTCCGCACCTACTAGCCGTGATCAAGCATGATGCCGAACAATGGGTGCAGGCAAGCGCAAGAAACTTTGGTTGTCTAATTTCTAGCATGGTGGGCATGAGCTTCATTGTAATCCTTTGGAGCCCACTCGCAGCGCGGCGAAGCGCTTTGTAACAAAACTTCTCATTTTTTAATACAATGACGCGTAAACCTTTTGCGTGTTCGAAAAAAACAATGATTCCTTAAGTGTAATTTTATTGGACATAGTAATATAATTTAGGGATAAGACAATTTCTAAAAAGTATATGTCAAATTTTTCAGATTGCAGATATCAAATAAATATACGTCAAATTGTTCACAAATACTTCACAAATTTCAGAAAAAATGACACACTGTTCACAAATTGGGGATGGGAGGGGGCCGCGCCCGTGCCCGCACCGGGCCTCGTCATCGATGTTGTCCGCGGGGCGAGCAGCAGGGGCGGAGGGAGCCGCGTCACCACAGTACCAAGCGCTCCGACAAGTAGCAGGGCGACACCACGACAGACGGAGCACGGGCACCAAGCAGTAGGGGCGGAGGGAGCCGCGTCCGGCCAGAAGGCGGCGGCGGAAGGCCAGCCTGGGAGGTGGCGGAGGGCCGGCTTGGGAGCGGTGGAGCCGGCGGGGGAGGTCTGGCCCGAGGTGGCGGCGGAGGGCCAGAGCAGGCGCGGGGTCTTGCGGAGGGAGGAGGCGCGGGGGCGGAAAAAATCGAGTGTTTGGGTACGGCCAAAACAACCTAGTGACGGTTAGTATTTGTCTCTGATTAACGACAAGTTCAGTGATCCACTTGTACTCCGTACCTGTACTAGATGAGGAATATTTCAAGCTATTGAATTCGCAACATAGAGTATTGCTCCCGTTTGAATCTCTTAACGAAGTCTTGAAACACTAGCACAAAAGGAAGTAGTGGCATCATCAATAAGGTGGCGTTTGGGAGGTGGGAAATGAGCGGTGGGTATGGGATACAAGGGGATGACTATACCCATACCCATGTTTGATAGTGGGAAAGGGTAATACTGTTAGATCGGGTATGGGAAATGAGAGGCTCCTATCCCAACGAAAGGGGTGGGTTGCACATTAGCAGTTGCACTTCAGTCTGTAACAATTGACTCTGTAATGGTCCTAACAGCTAAATGCTGTTGAAATGAAATTGTGTTTGCTCAAAAAAAAAAACGAAAGGGGTGGGTTTGGGTGGGAAATACCGATTCGTGCTTACCTGCTTCGACTACGATCTCCACCAATCAATCTCGTCCATCCACCGGAGCTGAGGGATGCTAGGCATGGCCGGCGAGGAGGGACGCACGCCGCTGACACCGGAGCTGCGCCCGCGGCAGCCCGCCTTCATCCATCTCCATTGCACCTTTTGCCCGCCACGGCCTTCTCCACTGGAGGGTGACAGCTCGCACCAAACACTACTACAAAACAAGGATATTATATCACTTTCTTGTAATATATTTATCAATGTGTTCCAGTGAAATTTCATAGTAATACAAAATATGTGTTACGAATTTCGGTTGTAACACAAAACATTTTTTTTATAAAAATGTGTTACTGACAATAATTATAGTGGCACAAAATTAATATTACAAGTAAAATGTTACAAAAGTGTACTATGTTGTAACACATAAATAAAACATATAAAATGTGTTACAAATATTTGTCCTATAGTAACATAAAATAATGTTATAATCCAAGTGTTACAAAGAAACATATACATGTGGACCTTCTATTAATAGACGATACGGACATCACACCTAGGTGTTGCTAAGGCTGTTAGGCAATCACATCGTGGTCATCGCATGAGAACAAAGTACCAATGAGTAGGCGATGCCAGAGCCTATTGTCAATTTATTAGGCCGAGCTCAAGAGACTCTAGATGCCAGATCACAAGAAGTAAAACAGGGAAGGAATATTGATATTTTTGACGTTGTTGCGCGAACCCACTAACCTACCATTGTATAGGTCGATCGAGAATTTCAAGTTTTTGGTTCACAAGAATACTAGTCAACTTTACAAAACATTGTCATGTAATATTGTTTTCTATGCTCAAAACCGGAGTGCAAACGGTTTTTGTGGTTTTGAGTCTAACAAAAAGACTATGCAAAAACAGTCATGTATGGCAGCCACAAAATGTTAAATCTAATAAGTAATCACCCAAAAAATGGTCTCAAAGTTATAAAATGCATAGAAAGGCCAAGACAAAAGGCATTTCAGTCTGGTCTTTAACTGATATTTGAGGCAATACGAAACATGTGCCATCACAAATGAAATAGGAAATTAAAAACAACCTCAAACATGTTTTGTGATAATATTCAGAATATCATGAACCATCGTCTAGGACATTTACATATAGAATGTGAATTCTTAAAAGGGTTTGACAATAAAAGAAAAATGTATGCTCTCCAACTTCACGTCCACGCATCCATCATACTTTAGGCTTGAACAAGGTGACTAGGAATGCCACATGACATTAGTAACCTGCAATTCAAGAAAAAGAAAATAGTTTAAGAATGTTTCTATACATTAATTGAAAAAACAATAATAAAGCTTCTAAAAGTAGGACAACATGCCTGACTGATTACGAATACTGTGTTAATATAGATGCAGCTATTGATCAAAAGTGAACTAGAGTCACGACATGAGCAAATTTCGCCCAATGTAACCAGGACTTATTAGAGTGAGTATAAGAGAAAAAGCTTTCATGCATAACCATGGTGGGAAGTTGTATGGTCCTAATACAACTGGGCAACAACTATGGGTAGAATTACACTTCCCATATGGGTTAAAACCATCTGTTGTTCCAAATCTCTTGAGAAGAACAAAAAATCTTCAGCCCTACACAACAATGTTTGGGAGAAGAATTACAAATGAATAAGAATACTTTGCAAATTTAGCATGTACATGAAAAACTTCGGATTCAACTCACTGGGCACTGCTCCTGCAAAATGTTCGTATGTCAATTATCTTGTAAGTTTCAGAAAATCGATAAGGTATATACATGTTCGATAAGGCATAAGAATAAAGCGTTGGATAATTCACGAATAAGAATCAAGTATAACAGAATAATAAGAATTAGACTAAAGTGCATATTTATAATGTTATTTGAACTTGAAACTTTTTTTTGAAACTTTGAACTTGGAACTTGAGAACAAGTAAAGTGCTATGGTTCGGATAGGATAGTCTAGAGCATGACATATATAAAAACTGGAAAAAAGAATTCAAACCTAATTTTACCTTGTGCTTCCTGATTGTGGCAGACTCTCCTCATCCCGCTTAAATCATTTTCCCCTATGATTGATTTGCTGTAAGGAGAAGATAATTTTGAAGACTATAAGGTACAAATGACAAATGAATTTTGGATTATAGTTATCAGAATAATATATGCCTGTCAAAGTTGTAAATCAAAATTAATTTATTTATGAGTAGAAAACTTGGAAGGGTTTGGAGCATACTGAAAGAAAAGTGGAATTAATATTTCAGTAAATACATATAGATAAAATAAGATGGACCACAGGATATGTAAAGTACTTATTTCTATACAGTTTGTGACTGTTATTCCAGATTAGTCTGTGACAGGTACTGCTTTAACTCTTAGAACTAAATATTGCACACCAATCAGTATGTGAATCATGTTTCGGATCAATCTGTGACAGTAAGAACTTAAACGAGGTTGGAATTGAATATTACACTAGGAATTGATCATTCTTAAATAAATAAATATTATTACGAGATATTTATACCATTGCAGATAATTCCCTAGAGCCGCTGACACGAACTCTTCCAGAAACGTGATGTACGCTCCTCCCCTGCCAGCCGATTTTGGCTAGTTTAAGGTTCAGATGACCTTGGTGT